TGTGATTTAATATTCTTCAACAATGCATGACAAACCCACATGAATTAAGTTAATGATAAAATTGATATTTTGGATTTTATCCTTACAACTTATAAGTTTAGCACCTATATAGCTTCTTTTAACTTTTTAAACCTACAATTTTTTGCACGTTCTGCTTGAATTATTTTCTTCATTTTCTAATAATTATCACCATACCGTATAAAACTTCAATTTTTTTAATTTTGTGGATAATAACATGGTTTGGATTAGTTATCAGCCAAAGAGACATACATGTTACTGGACGCTGTCACCATCTGATGGGTAAATAGGAATTTTTGGCCAAACACTGGCAGTGTACGCTCTGGTTTAAAAGAGTAATGCTGTCAAAAATATTTACAGATATCACCTATCTGTTTTTTGTTTTCTTAATTTCTTAAATCTTAATAATAACTTAAACAAACCTAAATATAAATTTAGTGAGGTGAATTGGGATCTTTACAATGAAATTCTCTATCAAATGCTAAAATATCAAAAAACAAAGTTGTAGTTGCTAGAGAACAACTAAATTATTACAGAGTAATTCATGTTGCAGATAATGCTATATCTAAATATTATTCAAAGAATCTTAATGGGCTTAAGAAATAGAAATGGCAATTCAATATGAAAAGATCTTTCAGACTTACTTATATTAAAACACGTAAGCCAAATCTTAAAAACGTGTTTAATAAACAATAAAAGGTTCCCAGCCCCAACAAGAAAACTAACACAGAACCACAATTACTTTATGACAGAAAAAGCTCAGGAGTTTATGGCAAAAGTTGAACATAAAAGTTCTTCCAAAACATCCTGATGAAGTGAAAGGATCTATTAACAAGTTACAACAAAAAGAATTAATCTACAAAATAATGTTAGTGCAGAAATACATACAGTAGAGAAACAGGTTTATCATGGAAAGAAAAGACTAAAAGGACATAACGATGTAACTAGACTGACATGTCTGGAAAAATTAGGATTTGCAGAATATAATTACAAAATAGGCCATATCATAATCTGGTACAACATCAAATGCTGGAGATGGCTCACAATAAAAAAACTAAAGAAACTCTTTATATCAAACTACACCAACCTACACTCGACCAAGACCACAGCTTTCACATCAGCAACCTCTGAACAACCTCCTTCACCAAATTACACAGAAATGAATGATGACATCACACAGCATGCTTTCAGGTACGCCTACTCACAGAGAGAAGCAAGTACCAGAAAGGAACTCCATCACAGAACCACGTTAACAAAGATACTACACAGTTAACAACTGACCGTAACATGGCAGATAATCCATTAAAGCCAAAACCCTACATTTAAACTCCTACTTAATATAATTGTTACTATATTCCATTACTTCAAATTTTCTACAAGCCAGTATATTAGATGAAATTTTAAGTTTTTACTTTGATATTTACTCTATGTTCAGAACTTCATAATATATTCCACTGGTAAATAAAAATCTAAAAGTCCTGAGGCTATACAGTACATTAAACTATCTTGTTTAATTAAAATAATTCCACTGTTTGGTATACAACTAAATCGTGAAGGAAGGACATTACATAGTCAACATATTTACCAATAAAGCAACATACATTAAAATGTATGTAATTCAAAGCTCTGACCCTAGCTGTGTTCATACACAATACGGCTACTATTGTCTCATTGCTGGCTCAACATAACAAGTGAGAATGCAGCTACTAGTTTTTGGCACTACTATGAAATCATGCATTACTTTTCTAATGGGACATTGCTCCAAATTAAAATACTTTATAAAAGGGTCCAGGTGGCCTTAGAACTTTCTGTTGTTTGTTTGTTTTTGTCTTATTTTATTTTTATACATTTAACCATGAGATTGAAAGCAGCACTATTTGGTGATCATACCTTGTGCAACAGTGACATTAGCAAATTCTAAAATCTGTGATCTACACACCCACTACTGTTCCTTAGGTGATCATACCTTGTGCAACTGTGATAGAAGCAAACTAAAATCTGTGATCTAAACATCCACTAAAGTTCCTTAGGTGATCATACCTTGTGCAACTGTGATAGAAGCAAACCAAAATCTGTGATCTAAACATCCGCTAAAGTTCCTTAGGTGATCATACCTTGTGCAACAGTGTTAGTAGCAAACTAAAATCTGTGATCTAAACATTCACTAAAGTTCCTTAGGTGATCATACCTTGTGCAAGTGTTAGAAGCAAACTAAAATCTGTGATCTAAACATCCACTCAGATTTCTTAGGTGATCATACTTTGTGCAACAGTGTTAGAAGCAAACTAAAATCTGTAAAGTACAAATTCACTCACATTTCTTAAGTTCAAAAAACAAGTCTGTGTATTTCAAAAATACTCCCAAGGTATTTCCAATTGGTGAAAAATAGATTAAACATGCAGGAATCTAAATATTCTGGTAATTAAAATATTTCTACTCTGAAAAAAAAGCAATAATAATAATTATACAACTACTTAAAATATGAATAATAAAAATAACACAATTCTTCTTTTATATACAGTATAGTAATTTATTAACTTGCATAATTCCTTTATCTTTACCTAATATAAACAAAGCATATTTGATATTAATTAAGAATAACCTGTAGACACAGAAGCTCACATTTATGTACTGCCCGAATGGTTTCAATGGTAATTAAATAATTTTCTCTCTATTTTAAAAACTGTGACAGGAGATTAAAAATTATGCTGTATCTGATAATTACTAATGATAATGGAAAGTATTACATGTAAATTTTAGGAAACATTAGTTAAATATTCACATATACATAATATGTAATTGTAAAAGTAAGAAGCTACTTAATGAATAAATTTCAATGGTGTAATCGGTTCTAATGTATAAATAATGTTATTTACTTAGAATTAATAATGTTATATTTTTTAAACATTCCAAGTCCTAAATATAACATTGCAATAGTATGACTAATAATTGAATCACATCTTAACAATCAGTTCACATACACCCATGTCCATATGAGAAAAGTACTTCTGATCATATTCTAAGATACCAAGTCATATTTCTTATTAACAGTACATGCTTCCAGAGTTTAAATTTAGATTGTATGATCAATCAAATACT